CCATGCTTATATCAGACAAACTAGATTTTAAACCAATGTCTGTAACAAGAGATGAAGAAGGACACTTCATAATAAAGGGGTCTATCCAACAAGAAGATCTAACAATTGTAAATATTTTTGCCCCCAACTTGGGAGCAGCCAATTCTATAAATCAGTTAATAACAAACTTAAACTCATTGATAATACAATAATAATAGGGGATTATTTTTGTTAAAGATTTTATTTATTTAAAAGAGAGAGCACACAAGCAAGGGGAACAGCAGAGAGAGAGGGAGAAGCAGACTCCCCACTGAGCAGGGAATCCAACCAACGTGGGGCTCAATCTCAGTCCGGAGATTGTGACCTGAGCCGAAGGCAGCCACTTAACCAACAGAGCCATCCAGGTGCCCCATTAATAATGGACTTTAACACCCCACTCACAGCAACAGATAGATGGTCTAAGCAGAAGATCAACAAGTAAACAAGGGCTTTGAATGACACACTGGACCAGATGGACTTAACAGACATATTCGGAGCATTTCATCCTAAAGCAGCAGAATACACATTGTTTTTGAGTGCACATGGATCATTCTCCAGAATAGATTACATGCTGGGTCACAACTCAGGCCTTAGTGGGTACAAAAAAACTGAGATCATACCATGCATATATTAGACCACAATGCTATGAAGCTTACAACAAGTAAAAATTTGGAAAGACCACAAATACATGGAGGTTAAAGAACATCCTACTAAAGAATGAATGAGTTAACCAGGAAATTAAAGAAGAAATTAAAAAAATACATGGAAGCAAATTAAAATGAAAACACAACAGTCCAAAACCTTTGGGATATAGCAAAGGCAGTCCTAAGAGGGAAGGTCTTCCTCAAGAAGCAAGAAAAGCCTCAAATACAAAACCTAACCTTCCACCTAAAGGAGATGGAAAAAGACCAGCAAATAATACCTAAAACCAACAAAAGAAGGGAAGTAATTAAGATTAGAACATAAATAAATGATATAGAAATTAAAAAAAAACAAACAGTAGAACAGATCGATGAAACTAGAAGCTGGTTCTTTGAAAGAATTAATAAAATTGAGAAACACCTACCTAGATTTATCCAAAAAGAAAAGAGGAAGGACCCAAATAAATAAAAACATGAATGAAAGAGGAGAGATCACAACCACACTGCAGAAATACAATTGTAAGAGAATAGTATGAGCAATTATATGCCAAAAAATTGAGCAATCTGCAAGAAATGGACACATTCCATTATGTTTCTAAACATATAAACTACCAAAACTGAAACAGGAAGAAATAGAAAAATTGAATAGACCCATAACCAGGAAAGAAATTGAATCAGTAATCAAAAATCTCCCAACAAACAAGAGTCCAAAGTTGAATGGCTTCCCTGAGGAATTCTACCAAACATTTAAAGAATTAATTCCTATTCTTCTGAAGCTGTTCCAAAAAATAGAAATGGAAGGAAAACTTCCAAACTCATTAAATGAGGCCAGCATCACCTTGATTTCAAAATAAGACAAAGACCCCACTAAAAAGGAGAATCACAGACCAGTATCCTTGATGAGAATGGATGCAAAAATTCTCAACAGGAGACTAGCTAATTGAATCCAACAGTACATTAAAAGGATTATTCACCATAATCAAGTATGATTTATTTCTAGGCTGCAGGGATAGTTCAATATCCACAAATTAATCAACATGATTATATTAATGAAGAGTAAGACAATATGTCTTCTCAATAGATGCAGAGAAAGCATTTGACAAAACATAGCATCCTTTCTTTTTTTTTTTTTAAGATTTTATTTATTTATTTGACAGAGACACAGCGAGAGAGGGAACACAAGCAGGAGGAGTGGGAGAGGGAGAAGCAGGGTTCCTGCCGAGCAGGGAGCCCAATGCGGGGCTCGATCCCAGGACCCTGGGATCATGACCTGAGCCGAAGGCAGACGCTTAACGACTGAGCCACCCAGGCGACCCAACATAGCATCCGTTCTTAATGAAAATCCTCAAAAGAGTAAGGATAGAAAGAACATACCTCCAGATCATAAAGGCCATATACAAAAGACCCACAGGTAGTATCATCCTTAGTGGGGAAAAACTGAGAGCTTTTCTCCTAAGATCAGGAACACAACAGGGATGTCCATCCTCACCACTGTTGTTCAGTATAGTACTGGTTCAGCCGGTGTTATAAATAAATAAGTATCTTCTGCACAGCAAAGGAATAAAAGCTTCTGCACGGCAAAGGAAAAAATCAACAAAACTAAAAGGCAACTGATGGAATGGAAAAAGGTATTTGCAAATGATATATCAGATAAAGGGCTAGTATCCAAAATCTATAAAGAACTTATCAAACTTAATACCCCAAAAGACAAATAATGGTCAGTTAAGCATTGGGCAGAAGACATGAATACACTTTTCCAAAGAAAACATCCAGATGGCTAATAGACATATAAAAAAATGCTCAACATCACTTATCATCAGGGAAATACAAATCAAAACCACAATGAGATACCACTTCACACCTGTCAGAATGGCTAAAATGAACAACTCAGGAAACAACAGATCTTGGCGAGGTTGCGGAGAAAGGGGAACCTTTTGTACTGTTGGTGGGAATGCAAACTGGTGCAGCCATTCTGGAAAACAGTATGGAGGTTCCTCAAAAAGTTAAAACAGAATAACCCTACAACCCAGCAATTGCGCTACTAGGTATTTATCCAAAGGGTACGAAAATGCTGATTGAAAGAGGCACATGCCCCCCAACTTTATAATAGCACTATCAAGAATAGCCAAATTATGGGGTGCCTGGGTGGCTCAGTCGTTAAGCGTCTGCCTTTGGCTCAGGTCATGATCCCAGGGTCCTGGGATCCAGCCCCACGTTGGGCTCTCTGCTCAGTGGGAAGCCTGCTTCTCCCTCTCCCACTCCCCCTGCTTGTGTTCCTGCTCTCGCTCTCTCTCTCTCTGTCAAAAAAAAAAAAAAAGAATAGGCAAAATATGGAAAGAGCCCAAATGTCCATTGACTGATGAATGGATAAAGAGGATGTGGTATACATAAACTATGGACTATTACTTGGCAATCTAAAAGAATGAAATCTTGCCATTTGCGACAACGTGGATGGAACTAGAGTATATTATGGTAAGCGAAATAAGTCAGTCAGAGAAAGAAAAATACTGTATGATTTCACTCATGTGGAATTTAAGAAACAATACAGATGAACACAGAGGAAGGAAAGGAAAAATAAAATAAGATAACAGGGAGGGAGCAAACCATAAGAGACTCTTAACTATAGACAAGAAACTAAGGGTTGAGGGAGGGGAGGTGTCTGGGAGAATGTGCTAAATGGGTGATGGGCATTAAAGAGGGCACTTGGGTGTTATATGTAAGTGATGAATCAATAAATTCTATTCCTGAAACCAATACTATACTATATGTTAACTAAGTTGAATTTAAATTAAAAAAAAAAAAAAGAACTGTCATATGATCACACTACTGGGTATTCCCCTAAGAATGTGAAAACACTAATTCCAAAGGATATATGCACTCCTATTTTTTTGCAGCATTATATACAATACCCAAATTATGGAATCAGCCCAAGTGTCCATTGACAGATGAATGGATGAAGAAGATGTGGTATATACAAAATGGGATACTATTCAGCCATAAAAAAGAATGAAATCTTGCCATTTACACCAACCTGCAGTGTTATAGAGTATAATACTAAGTGAAATAAGCCAATCAGAGAAAGACAAATATCATATGATCTCACTTGTATGTGGTATTTAAGAAACAAAACAAATGAACAAGCAGAAAAGAGACAAACCAAGAAACAGACTCCTATCTGTAGAGAACAAATAGATGCTTATCAGAGGGGAGGTGGGTGGGGTGAATGAATGAAAGAGGTGAACGGGATTAAGGGTAATCTTACCTTGATGGTTACTGGGTAATATATGGAATTGTTGAATCACTATATTATATACCTGAAACTAATACAACACTGTTGTTAACTACACTGGAATTAAAATTTTAAAAATAAATTGAAAAAAATTTTTAAATGAAATTGTTGTATCGTTGTGTTGTGCTATTTAGGAGCTCTGCCATTTCTCTTAGAGGTTAGGAAACTGCAGAAGATTGACTCTATCCTGTATATTTTTACTGGTGATACAGAAAATGCAAAAGTAATGTGTTTTATTATTAATGCATTTATTTGTCCAGTTATTTCATTCTACAAACTGGTTAGGAGCCTATCACTATATATACAAAGATGAATAAGATACATTCTTTGTCCTCATCAGTTTTATGAGGTAGCAAGGGAGATAAATATGTACATGAATAATTTCATTACAACATAGTAAAGAATACTATAGATGTGTGAATAATTAAGTAGTTCAAAATATGAACAATCTCTTTAGGCCAGTGTTTGTCTGCATAAAGTTGTATCCTCCTCTCCTCTTTCCCATGCTTTGGATCACCCGTCAGCGAGTGAATTTTTGTTGTCACAATTTCAAGCACTCTGCTGGCCTTTAATGTGACAGTCCAGGAATATGAAATGCCTTGCAGTACACTGGACAGCCCTGCAATACTAAGTATTGTCTTCAAAATTCCAATAGCACCTGGCTTGAAAAAATACTGCTGTCCTCTTTGTGGGAAGGCTTCAATGAATACTCAGTTAATATTTGTGTATCCACTTTATCCATAATTCTAGATGCCTGGAAATAAATATTCTTAGAGAGTAATGTCCTTATCCTAGTAAAATGTGGCTTGGTGGTTGTCAAACTCTCCCAAAGACCATTTAACCAAATATTTGGTTTTAGTTATCCTTTAAATTTTGGATTCTGCTTAATCATACCTGAAAACTAAAATCTTAAGAGAAATTGAGTTTTAGCAATGTAATACCATCCCTTTTATTTTTCCTCTTATTTTCCTTCTTCCGAAGAGTTGTGTTGTTTATGATAACTTGGTTACTGAAATATTTTGAAATTACATGGATTTTTTTTTCTTTTCTAGGAGAATATCAACCAGCAAAGTGACAGTTCTGGGTTATGGTCTTTTAACCACAGATGCAGAGACTTTGGTAGATGCATTGAATAATCAGAAATTCAACGTAGTTATAGTGGATGAATCACACTACATGAAGTCCAGGAATGCAACCCGCAGCAAGATTTTATTGCCAATAGTACAGAAAGCCAAACGAGCCATTCTTCTTACAGGAACTCCAGCTTTGGGAAGGCCTGAAGAGGTATTAAAATCCTTAAATTTTGGCTTAAAAAAAATCTTTCACCAAAAATAATCATTGGGAATTTCTAGATGGCTATTAATGATTAAATATATCTTTTATATGACTGTTTTCTCTGTTTACATGTGAACCTTACCTGTACTTGTACATGTATATTAAAAAATAGTTTTTACTTTCAGTATAAGGTTTTCATATTTAGTATACATTTGTAATATTCATCACATTTGTTTTCTTATGATTCTTATATGGTTTTAGTCTTCATTTATCCAGTTTGTTTGACATTATAGGGATATAATTTAAGATTGGAGTTTAATCTATTTTGTATCTTTTGAATTGCCTTACAGAACTTCTTCCTGTTTCTCTTGTACTTCAACATACATGTTTTGGGGGCGCCTGGGTGGCTCAGTCAGTTGAGCGTCAGCCTCTTGGTTTTGGCTCAGATCATGATTTCGGGGTCGTGGGATGAGCCCTGCTTAAGGCTCCACACTGAGCACAGAGTTTACCCGAGATTCTCCCTCTCTCCCTCTCACTCTGCTGTTATCCCTACTTGCACTCTCTCTCTAAAATAAATAAATAAATGTTAAAAAAAAAAAAAGATTCGTGGTCTGGGAAGGTATAGGTATCTGAACTTCTGTTCAGATCAGGTAGAATAACTACTTGCATGGAGAAATAAGGCATTTGTTTGATACCCCCATTTAGCTTTACCACTCTTAAGAGCTATGTAGAGTATGGAGTAAAGGGTTGGGAGGAAGAAATGACAGTTGAAATTCTTTTTTTTTTTTTTAATGATTTATTTATTTGAGAGAGCGAGAATGAGAGAGAGAGAGAGAGTACATGAGAGGGGGGAGGGTTAGAGGGAGAAGCAGGCTCCTCGCTGAGCAGGGAGCCCGATGCGGGACTTGATCCAGGGACTCCAGGATCATGACCTGAGCCGAAGGCAGTCGCTTATCCAACTGAGCCACCCAGGCGCCCGACAGTTGAAATTCTTAGGAGTCTATAAGGGTCATTGTAACCTAGAGAAGCCCTTTCCATTAATGAACACTGAGTCACAGAAAAAAAATGTACTTTTTGTCTTGTAGGGTTTAAAAATTAAAGGAAATATCTTTGAAAGTATCTTGCTATGTGCCCTGGCACATGGTAAGCATTCAACATAGAGTAGCCACTTTTATTACTGATTAGTAAGCCAGGCTTGGGAGACAGCTATTGGTAAGAGTGTATTATGTTCATTGATTTTCAGATGTTAAACCAACTTTACGTTCCATGATAAATCTCTCTTGACTGGATGTCATCCTTTTTATTTGTTCCTGGATTCAGTTTGCTCTATTTTGTTGATGATTTTTGTGTGTATGTTCACAAAAATAGTGATCTGTAGTTTTATCGTTGTATCTTTGGTTTTGGTGTCAAGGCAGTAGTGGTTTCATAGAATGAGGTGGGAAGTATTCTCTCCTTTTCTGTTTCTAAGAGGAGTTTGTGAAACATTGCTTTACTTCTTTTTAAATGTTTGGTAGAACTTAGTGGTGAACCCATCTGGGCCTGAGTTTTTCTTTGTGGATAGTTTTTAAATTAATCATTCAGTCTCTTCACTGAATATTATGTCTATTCAATTGTATATTTCTTCTTGAGCAATTTTGATACGTATCTTTATAGGAATTTTCCCATTTTTTCTAAGGTATCTAAGATACTAGCATACAGTTGTTCATAATATTCCCTTATAATCCTTTGTGTTTCTGTGAGGTTGATAGTAATGTTCCCTCCTTTATTTGTGATTTTAGTAACTTGAGTCTTTTCTCTCTTTTTTAATTTGGTTAATGTAAGCTAAAATTTTGTCAATTTTCTTGTTCTTATCAAAACCAATATTTGGTTTCATTGATTATTTTTTCTGTTGTTTTTCCAATCTCTATGTTGTTTATTTCTATTCTAGTCTTTATTATGTTACTCCTTCTGTCTGTTTTGCGTTTTGTGTACTCCTTCTTTCCCAATGTCTTAAGGTGGAAAGTTAGATTATTGATTTGAGATCTTTTTTTTTTTTAAGATTTTATTTATTTATTTGACAGAGAGAGAGAGCACTAGCAAGTGAAGGGGCAAGGGAGAGGGAGAAGCAGGCTCCCTGCTGAGCAGAGAGCTTGACATGGGGCTCAATCCCAGTACCCTGGGATCATGACCTGAGCCGAAGGCAGACGCTTAACTGACTGAGCCACTCAGGTGCCCCATGAGATCTTTTTTCTTTTTTAATGGAGACATATACAGCTATAAATTTCAATCCTTGGATAACACACTGGCAATTACTTAGAAAGTTAAAAATAGAATTACCATAAGATGTAGCAATTCCATTTTTTAAGTTTACACACAAAAAACTGAAAACATATGTTCACACACAAAAAAAAACTGTATACAGATGTTCATAGTAGTAGTATTTATAATATCCAAAAAATAGTAAGAAGCCAGTGTCCATAACTGATGAATGGATAATGAAAATGCAGCCATAAAAAGGAATGAAATACTGATACATTCTACAACATGGATGAACCTTGAAAGCATTATGCTAAGTGAATGAAGTCGGACACAGAGGCTACATATTGTATGATTCTGTTTATGTGAAATATCCAGAAAGGCGAAGTAATGGAAATAGGAATCAGATTAGTGGTTGCCAGGATTGAGGGAGAGAATGGGAAATGACTAGTAATGGGTATGGCGTTCCTGTCTATAGTGATAAAAATATTTAAGAATTAGATAGTGGTGATTGAGGCATTTTGTGAATATACTAAGAGCCACTGAATTGTACACTTTAAAAGTGTGAATAATGGAAGTGGTATATGAATTATTTCTAACTAAAGTAGCTGTTTTAAAAATGTATACTAAAATAACAATGAGACACCACTATGTGCAGCGTATCAAAGTTATAAAAATGAAAAGATTTCATGATACTACTTATGGGACTTGCTTTTTACAGTGGAACACAGTAATATCCATCAAACTTCAAAAAGCATATATCTTAAACACACCTATTTCATTTCTAAAAATATATCCTACAGACTCATCTAATGGAAATACTAATTGGCGGGTGGGTGGGTAGGTGGATGGATAGATGGATAAATAGATAAATGATTGATAGATGAGATGTAGATATTCTACTTACACCTACATACATATAAGCACACATACACACACATAGACTTACCTGAAGTTATTAACTTACATAATTGTATAAAAGCTAGAAACAGCCTATAGGTCCATGATTAGGAGACTGTTTAAATATTTTACAGTACTTCTACATGATAATGGGTGCTATGAGCCTTTAAATGGTACTTTATTATAGTAATACCATTGCTTAGATAATTTTTAAAACGAAGTAAAAATAGATATATATGTACTCTAATGATGTCTAAGACATGTTTTAGGGGACAGAATCCTGGTTTTATATGTATAATAGCATCTTCATGTGAATAAAAGAGAATATATACATATTCCTATATAGGCATACAAAATATGTAAATGTATTTTAGAGAAAAGTGTAGCAGTTACCCCTGAAGAATAGGATGGCAGAGATGGGTGGATGGAAGAAAAGGAGGAGGCTGAGAAAGAAGAGGTGGATTTTCTTTTTTACTCCACTATTTTTTTAACTAGATTTATCATAGTAATAATATTTACTTGAAAATGTTGCAACATATTGAGAACACTTGTATTGTTACAGCTTTTCATGCAGATTGAAGCTCTCTTTCCACAAAAATTTGGAACATGGACGGAGTATGCCAAAAGATACTGTAATGCACATATCAGGTATGACAAACTAGTTTCTATAAATTTTAATTCTTGCATATTTACTGTGAACATTAAGGTTTTATTAGTCATTCTTTGTTCCAGTGCTTTTCAAACTTGTGGTAGCCATGGAATAATTTCTTCAGGTAAAATCTTGTGGGGTGCCTGGGTGGCTCAGTCGTTTAAGCATCTGCCTTCAGCTCAGGTCATGATCTCAGGGTCCTGGGATCAAGCCCAGCATCAGGCTTCCTGCTCCATGGGGAGCCTGCTTCTCCCTCTCCCTCTGCACCTCCACCTGGGCTCATGCTCTCTCTTTTCCCTCTCAAATAAATAAATAAATAAATCTTTTTTAAAAATTAAAAAAAAAATCTTGTGTGAAAGACCTATACATAAAATAAATAAAAGAAGTAGATAATGGCATTTTTTTCTTTTATTTTTTACCTTCCATTTTGTTTTTGAAATTATTTATCTGTATTGACCGGATAAATGTGCACAATGTACAAAATTGAAAAGTAAGTTCCCATTCCACTCATGTCTCCCAGCCAGCCATTTTCCTTCACAGGTAACCAATGTTGGCAATTAATTGTGTATCTTTCTGGAGATACTCCATGCATGAAAAACCGTATGTGATTATGTGTGTATAATATTGTTTCATTCTATTTCTACATATATAGTAATATTAGGTACACACTGTTCTGTAGTTTGCTCTCTTCACCTAATATCTATTAGAGATCCTTCCATATCAGTTCCTAAAAGAGCTTTGATGTTCTTTTTTTATTTTTAAATGCTGCATGTATTCCACTATTTGCATGCACTATAATTTATTTAGTCTACTACCAATAGACGTCTGTTTGTGGTACATAGCTGTTGCATACAATACCACAATGAATATCCTTGCACGTTTTGAGAGGCAGTACATGATATTGGCAAAAAGCATGGAAAACTAGAGCTAGACCATCTGTCTTTCATATTCATATCCAGTACTTACCACGTTTCATTTTACGAAAGTTATTCTACCTCCCCATACCTTCATATATTCAGCTGTAAAAAGAGAAAATTATTCCTATCTCAGAGAGATATTAGGAGACTTACATTAGCTAATATTTATAAAGGGCTTGAATAGTCAGTGGCACGCAGCGAGCACTCAATAATTATGAGTTATTTTAATATTTCATGTCACACACACAGGACTAAATCTGTCGGATAAATTTATAGAATTGGAATTGCTGGTACAAAAGGGCATGTGTATTTTTATATTTTTTAGATTGTTGCAGACTGCTCTACCAACATTATAATAGTTTATATTCCCACCAGCAATAAGATTGTCTCTTTCCCCACACTTTTCCAACCTGTTCAGATATTATTTTATTTTGCCAATGTCTTCTGACTGTTCCCTTCTTATGTTATTAAATGCAGTTGAGCATTTTTTTTATGCATGTAAGAGACATTTATACTTTTTTTCCCGCTAATTTCTGTTTGTGTTCTTTGCCCTTCATCCTACTAAACTTACTGGCTGTTTTTTTTCTTATCGATATATTGGAAATCTTTATATATTATAGAAATCAGCTCTTTGTGATATGAGTCCCTCACATTATTTCCCCAGTGCGTGTGTGTGTGTGTGTGTGTGTATGTTTTCCTTTATCCTTTCTACAAGTTTTTAAAGTAACCCTAGTGTGTTTTGATACTTTTTAAAGGGCTGTAGAGCACAGAGATAGAAGGAGTCCTTCCAGATTGTTTGTATGAAGGCATTTCACTGACAGCAAAATTAGACAATATCATACAGAAAAAAAAAGGACCTTTTTTTACTTAAGATTATAAATGTAGAAATCTTCAATATTATTATAAACGAGAAACTCATGAAAAGACCTAATATGTTAATCAGATGCAAATGGAATTCATATCAGCAAGTATTGTTTAATATTAGAAAATGTATTAATATAGTCATGTTACTAATGAAAAGGGAAAACTTCATTATATCATCTCCATATATGCTGAGATGTAATTTGACAAAATTCAGCACCCATCCTTTTATAATATTTAATAATTTTTAAATTATTGAAGTATAGTTGACGTATAATGATAAATTAATTTCAGGTGTACAACATAGTTATTTGACAATTCTGTACATTACTCAGTGCTCACCATGGTAAGTATAGTGACCATCTGTCACCATACAACATTATTACAATGTTACTGAATTTATTCCATGTACTGTACTTTTCATCTCCATGTTTTATTTATTCTATAACTGGAAGATTGTACCTCCTAATCCCTTTTACCTATTTTACGCAGTTACCCACCTCCACTCCCCTCTGGCAACTACCAGTTTGTTCCCTGCGTTTAAGAGTATGTTTAGTTTGTTTGTTTGTTCATTTATTTTGTTTTTTAGGTTCCATATGTAAGTTAGAGCATATGGTGTTTGTCTCTGTCTTATTTCACTTAGCATAATACCTTCTAGGTCCATCCATGTTGTCTTAAATGGCAAGATATCATTCCTTTTTATGGCTGATGGTTATTTTTTGTATTTATATATCACATCTTCTTTATCCATTCATCTATCAGTGGACACTTGGGCTGCTTTGATAATTTGGCTATTGTAAATGATGCTACTATAAACACAGGGGTGCATGTATATTTTGAATTAGTGTTTTTGTTTTCTTTGAGTAAATACCCACTAGTGGAATTACTGGATCAAATTGTATTTCTCTTGTTAATTTTTTGAGGAACTTCCATATTGTTTTCCACAGCGGTTGTACCAATTTACATTCCCAGTAACAGTGCACAAGAGATTCTTTTTCTCCACATCCTTGACAACACTTGCTATTTCTTTTTTTTTTTTTTAAAGATTGTATTTATTTATTTGACAGAGACACAGCAAGAGAGGGAACACAAGCAGGGAGAGTGGGAGAGGGAGAAGCAGGCTTCCCGCCAAGCAGGGAGCCCGATGCGGGGCTTGATCCCAGGACCCTGGGATCATGACCTGAGCCCAAGGCAGACGCTTAACCGACTGAGCCACCCAGGCGCCCAACACTTGTTATTTCTTTTGATACTAGCCATTCTGACTGGGTTATATTTAGAGGAAGCTGTAAATACAAATATGATTTGGAGAAGGCAGCACATTCAGGTTTGCATTTCCTTGATGATTAGCAATGTTGATTGAGCATCTTTCCATGTGTCTATTGGCTATCTGTATTTCTTCTTTGGGAAAATGTCTATTCAGATCCTCTGCCCATCTTTTAATCACATTGTTTGCTTTTTTGGTGTTGAGTTTTATAAGTCCTAATATATTTTGGATATTAACCCTTTATTGGATATATCACTGGCAAATATCTTTCCCCATTCTCTAGGTTGCCTTTTTATTTTGTTGATAGTTTCCTTTGCTTTGGAAAAGTTTTTTAGTTTGATATAGTCCTAATAGTTTATTTTCGCTTTTGTTTCCCTTGCCTGAGGAGACAGTCCATAAATATGTTGCTAAGGGTGATGTCTAAGAGATTACTGCATATATTTTCTTCTATGAATTTTATGGTTTAAGTTCTCACATTTAGATCTTTAATCCATTTTAATTTTATTTTTGTGTGTGGTATAAGAAAGTGGTCCATTTTCATTTTTTTTGCATGTAACTCTCCAGTTTTCATAACACCATTTATTGAAAAAACTGTCTGTAGCCCCATCATATATTCTTGCCCCCTTTTTTTGTAAATTAATTGACCATGTAAGTGTGGGTTTATTTCTGGGCTCTCTATCCCATTCCATTAATCTCTGTGTTTGTTTTTGTGCCAGTGCCATATTCTATGAATACTGTGTCTTTGTATTATAGCTTGAAATCAGGTATTGTGATATATCCCTCTGGCTTTGTTCTTTTTTTTCAAGATTGCTGTGGCTATTCGAGGTCTTTTGTAGTTCCATATGAATTTTAGGATTATTCTAGTCCTGTGAAAAATGTCATTAGTATTATAGTAGGGATTGCATTGATTCTGTAGATTGCTTTGGTTAGTGTGTACATTATAACAAGATTAATTCTTCCAATCCATGAATATGTGGTTTTTAATAATCTTAATGTATATGTGTGTATGTGTTCTATACTCAAAGCCACTGTATCATATGAAACTTTAAATCCGGAGCAAGGATGTTCACTGACATCACAGTTTACTTTATTCGGGCAGCACTAATCAGTTTAATTACCCCCAAAAAAGGTAAAAATTAGAAAGAAAAAGGCAAAATTATCATTATTTGTAGCTGATATTATTTACTTGGAAAACCTGAGGGGATCAGCTCAAAAATGCACAAAAGAGAATTTATTAAGATGTTCTAGCACAAAGTTACTATTTAAAAAATCAGTTGTCTTAAATACATAAATAATAATAAATAGTTTTAATATATAATGAGAAATAGACATGATACTACAAAATTGTTAGGAAACTCTTTGTCACAATTATTGCAGACTATAAATGCCAAAATTTTGCTTACATAAAAACAGACATATTAATTGCATTTATCTTTGGGGGACTAGGAAATCCTAAATGGTCAGAAGTATTCCATCTTTTCTGATTATCAGGACTTTCATATGACAACAAAAGTGTATAACTGTCCCTTTCTTGATTATTAATACATGCTGTTTCAAAGAAAAGTTTATATTTTGGAAATGCTTTATGATTGGGGAGATTGTGTTCTTTTCTTTTTACTAGAGAAAGCCATTTTAAGATTATTATGCTTCTCAAAAGACATTTTCTTCCAGATTCCATTTAAAAATTTTTATGTTATTCCTTTTCTTTATTACCTTGAAACCAGTATGCTGTCATAGACTCTGATTCAGATCAAGGCACCTCCTGGCATTTTAAGTTAGTTTGGAATGTTAAATTTTTCCCATAATGTTTTGCTTTCATGAAGATGTCAATTTCACACTATAATTTTGCAGAAAGCAAATTATGGTTAGTTACTCAGTTCTAGACCCATATTTTATATTTGAAATATCATGACTGTATTCAAGTTAAGTTAAATGAAGCTTGAGCAAAAATACAACT